AAGGAGCAGCTTAGAAACGGTGCCCAGAAAACAGACCGCGGCTGTGGGTTTGTTCTCAGTCTCAAAAGTGGAGGGCGCGCGCGCGTTGCCTCCTTCGCCCCTACACCCTTTCCGCCCTTTTTTGCAACCTCAGAATTTGCCCAATCGCTTTCGTTTAATTTTCAATTAAAATGCAAACCATCTGCTTTCCATCCCTCCCCCAATATATTATAATATATAAATAAATATATATAATATATATATATTCTGTGTAGAGAATTGCGGGGATCGCTGAGACCACGTTTTGCACTCTTGGGGGGTCGCGCTTGGAAAAGCCCCAACTTCATTAGGTCGCGCGCAGGAAGAAGCGTTGCTGGGTGCTGGGGGGAAGGAGGGGCTCCCCGCGGGAAATCGAGTCTCAAGGGCTTTGGAACGCAGCGTCTAAGACCGCCCGGACCAGAAAGAGGCCTCCCGCATCTGCTGCAGCTTGTCTACAGGACTTGGTCCCGAAGAAACCGGTTTGAACCCCGCAGTTAGAGCCCAGGGCAGGGCGATCGGGCGTCTCTCCCCGGTGGCGAAGGACAGGGGTGACCCTCTCTCTCCCTCCGCACTCCCAGCTGGAGCCAGACCGAACCCCGATGATCCACGACCCACCGACCGACCAGCACCCGGCAGGAGGCCCCGGGGGTCTGGATCACTCGCGGCCCCGTGCGTGCGTGCGGGGATCCAGCCCCAAGGGACCAAGGTACACAGACCCAGAATGTCCCCCTGCCACGATCCAAAACCAGGGCTGCTGTCTTAATTTGGGCATGTGAAAAGCGCATCGAAGCGGAGGGTGGAGGCTTCTTTGCACCCAGTTTTGCAGCTGTATACCGATGGCAGATAACCCGAGAGTTGCGTCGAAAAATCTCTCCATCTGCATCTCTGCTTTTTTGTGCGTCTCTCTCTTTTTTTTTTTTAACACTCCTGCCCCAGTATGGAATGATGCGCAGTTGACAACAGGAAAGACGTCCAGCTCTTTGCCCGGGTCTCAGTATTCACAGGAGATAGAGGCCAGGGCGTTGCTTTGTGAAGTTGGAGTCTCTGGGGACCCCCTCTTCTTTCAAGCGCAGCGGCGTGGAGGCTGAGCAGGTCGCAGGAGGGCCAGGCGCAGGGTCGGGCTGGAAGGGAGGTTGTGTGTGAGCCACCGCCGGGGTGGAAGCGGCCAGGAGAAGAGAAAGTTTCGTTCCCAACGAAGCAAGAGGCACAGGGGGGCCCAGGTCTCAGGGCCAGGGCTGGACCGCACCCGCCACCATCCTCCCGAAACATCCAGGCAGAGGTGGAAGGGCGCTGGGAGTTCGAGGCCAGCGCTGGATCTCTGCAAAAAAAATAAATAAATAAATAAATAAATAAAAAATAAAAAAAATATATATATATGTATGTGCAGGCGGTCTGCACATTAGCTGTCTTCTGAGGCGACAGTCCTGGCCGACTCCTTAGCATAATTCAGATTGACGGGGGACTTCACCTTCGCGCAGGCCAGATTCTAAAATCTATGAAATGATGGATTTAATCCAGTCTTAAAAAGTCAATGAAGAAGGTGGAGAAGGAAAAGGAGGATCAAAGGACATTACTTTTTTTTTAAATCTCAGAAGAGAATAAAAGTGCCCAAAGGATAAACACCCCTCCCCCTGAGTCTCAGACTCAGGCTCGGACTGACACCCACTTAAAAACCCAGCGCTTTGGAAACGAAGGTGTTCCAAGCGCATCAAGCCCTCGGGTCTTTTTCGTGCTCGGACCCAAAGGAGCGCTTGGGCCCCGACGGACAAACTCCATCCATCCGTGGTGCCGCTCACGTTTCAGTTTTGAGCCACTGGTTGCATTTTTTTTTTTTTTTTTTTTACCCCCTGTTTTCTGCGCATTAAATTTGGACTTAATGATCTCATCCAAATTGCGGTAGTGACCAAACTGTAACAGCTCCCAAGGGTATAGTACTTTGACATCTTGGGTTCTCCAAACTGTCCGGAGGTTTTCCTCCTCCTCGCCAGCACCGTTGGACCCTGCCGGGAACTTAAAGACCTGCCAGAGACTGATGAGAGACAGAGA